GGGAGGAAGACGACATAGACCGTCGAGGGACTAAGCGCCAACAACAACAGCGACAATCGTTCGAGAGGGCAGCAACCAGTGAGCATGTACAGACGCCTAAGCGAGCGGAGACGACGTCGCTCATATATCCACCCACACCGGCGAGTATTGAGAAAAGTCGACAGGTGCTACACGCACGTATACTACACTTGAGCGACGAGTTATGCCAAGCAATAGAGGATAATTCGAGCTGAAGCTCTTAGGGGAGCGATAGAAAGGCTTCGAGCCACGCTAGAGTCCCGTCCAGTGGAAAAGCGTCCGGTACCATCACCTCGTACATGGCCCAATTGGCCCTCGAATAGATACCACCTCCACGACATAATGGAACGGGACACGAAGGGGGCTCTATTGGAGGCTTTTAAAAACGCGCAAATCGCAGGGTTAGATGAGAGTTGGAGCCTTACATGGTTCCACAAGGTATTATCTTACTTTAAGGCTGAGAAGTCAACATTGGTTTACATACGTGACAACTCTGAACGATTGAAGATGTGGACGCCACAACTACAAATCGAACAGACTTGCTCGCACGAGACTCAAGCCACTGTTGATACCGCGTTTCGTAAGCTTGCCAGGAGCCACAACCGCAACATGCACACCCCTATTATGGAACAAATGACACAGCTCATGGAGAACCACAGGAGGGCACGTGAACGATGCCAGACGGATGCAGATTTCCAACAGAATTTATTAAACCACTGCATTGTTCAACTGTTGGAGGAAGCTCTCAACGGCCGTACGTATGAACACACTCTACAATTGCATCCCAAATGGCAGTTAATGAAGACTCGCGAGCTTCTACAGTTGTTGAGTCCCGACATTCAGGACGCACAGCAGCGCACTGCGGCGCGACTCCAGTACCGTAATAATCGCGAAGGTCCACCAAGTAATGGGGCTCGTGACTACACCAATAGCCGCCCTAACCCGCAAACGGTTCAACGACAGTCACAGAACTGGTCACAGCGACCCCAGCCGACATTACCTACAACGTGCGCTGGATGTCAGGCACAATCACCGCCAGGTTCACGTCATAATTCGTGATGTCACCATTTCCGAGCGTCGCCCCCAGGGGGAACGGACGGCAGGGCGCGGCCGTATGACACCAACCGCATATCACGAAACACACAACCGGCACACAGACCGTCCGCAGCTCCAACCTTAGGACAGGGACAGCCCAACAACCCGGGCAAAGACTTGGTCACTACACGCCCGACTCCGCAAGTACAGGTGAACGCGATTACAAACGACGACAGTTTTGTACCACCATCAGCAGCTACAGAGGTACACATCAACACGATACTCACGGAAGACTTCGAGCACACGATACTGGAACCAGATCAGGACCACGGTGTATGGGAGACTGTTACCGATCAAGCATGAGATGTGAGGGTGTCTGAGTCGGATATGAGCTTCACATTTGTTAATACTATTAGGGAAGTGATGGCGATACAGGACTCATTACTGTATTCTGATAACCGAGCTTATATTCAAGTGCAAGTTAATGGACGTACGTTCAAAGCATTGATAGACACGGGAGCAAACAGAAGTTGTATCTCACAGACATCCGCAGACCTCCTCGGCCGCCCAATATCTCCAGCACCACCTTGGTCATTCATATATTTAGCTGACAAGGCGGTTCGAACTCCTCGACTGGGGACGACGGAAGTGGTACCCATTCGGTATGGGACCAAGATTATCGACGGGTCACTGGAATTGATGAATTTACCGGCAGGAATAGACATCATAGTGGGACAAGATATGTTGAAAGGCTTGGTTCTATACATAGGCGGCATCCAATCTCCACTTGCACCAATAGACCTCACAGAACTCGATGAGCTCCTCGAACCCATCCCACGACGACAGGCAGGAATAGACATCATAGTGGGACAAGATATGTTGAAAGGCTTGGTTCTATACATAGGCGACATCCAATCTCCACTTGCACCAATAGACCCCACAGAACTCGATGAGCTCCTCGAACCCATCCCACGACGACAGGCAACGAACACGACGGAACCCGCCGATGCACGTCAACGGCTGGCACAGGATTTAGAGGCGAACGCGCAGATTGCTGACAAGGCGCGATGTCGTCTGGAAGGGAGCGAAGTTACCATTCCGGTAACACGCGAACAGGCGATGCACATGCGCAGATCAACGCGTAACTTTGTATCCGACCGGTGGCTACCATTCGTGGACGAGCAGATAAAGAAGTGGTTGGCGGATTTGGTGATCACGAAGCGGACGATACCGACGACTGTTAACCTCCCGCTCCTTGCGGTCCCGACGTTTGATGCAGAAGGGAACGTGAAGAAGGTACGCGTATGTTTAGATATGCGTGCTGTCAACGCGCTTATTCCGGGCGACCAGTTCTTGATTCCCAAGGTCAACGAACTTATCTCTCGCCTCAAGAGTGAGAAGTACTACACTACGCTGGATATATCGGCGGCATATCGTAGGCTACCGATCCATCCCGATTCACAATATCTGTTTAGCTTTACACACGAGCGTAATCAGTACTCGTTTACATAGGCGCCGTTTGGACTCCATGTGCTCACGCAACAGTTCCAGCAAACCTTGAGCACAATACTGGACGGCTTGCCGGTCCACCACTATATCGACAATATAGCTATTACCAGCAACGACTATGACGAACATATTCGAACGGTGAAGAAGGTGATTCAACGTTTAACATACCACAGTTTTAAGCTCAACCTCGCCAAGTGCTACTTTGCTATTCCCGAAGTGATGATCCTAGGGAAGAAGGTGTCGGCACAAGGCATATATATTGATCATGAGAAGCAGACCAAGCTTATCGACTGGCCTACCCCACTACGGCACAAAGACATAGCCTCTGCCATAGGATTGGCGAATCATCTTCGTGAACATCTCTCCAGCTTCGCGAACACGGTTGCACCTTTGCGCGACTTTTTTTTGCGATCGTTGGGAGGAAAGACATACACAGACGTGGCAAGCGATGAAGGATGCAGTTGTCAATGCAGTGGCGTTGCACTTTCCGGTCGAAGGTATACCCTTGAGCTTGGAAACCGACGCTAGCGATTACGGTTTGGGGGGAGCGTTATTACAATGGGTCGACGGGAAGAAACAATATTTAATGTTCTTTAGCAAGACTCTGAACCATGCGCAACAGAACTACGCTACACCAATGAAGAAGTTACTAGCCTTGGTGTACGGGCTGACATATTTTAGGGAACATTTGGATGGGCAACGGTTTGCAGTCTTTACGGACCACAAGGCCCTGGTGTATATGAATATACAGCTCAAGCTTAATCCGATGCTCCAGAGATGGCACCATACTATAGCACCGTTCAACTTTGCCATATCACATATACCAGGAGAGACAAACGTGTTTCCGGACATGTTGAGCAGAGTACATGAGGGGACAGCGGAGCAGGACGAGCCTGAAATACTGTACACAGACTGTTGGCAGTTATTCCCTAGTTACTTTGAACAAGTGCAACAACACTTCGGTCCGAACAATACAGATGCATTTGCGGACCCGTCTAACGCTCAGCTTCCTCGATTTTGGACTAAAGACGATGGGGAAGGGGCGTTAGCCCACGACTGGTCGACAGTCGATGAATGGATGAACCCACCATGGGAGAAGATACATAGAATGTTACGCAAGATAAGGACCGATGGTGCGAGGGCAACGGTGTGTCTGCCATGGGTACCAAGGGCACCATGGTTTGACCTGTTCAAACAGTTGTGGCAATCAGAACCAGTACTGGTCCCACGAACGCCACACACGTTCCTCAAGTACGCTAAGTATGCCTGTGGCACGACGTCATGGGGACACACAGTGATTGCACGAGTGGGACCCCCTAACGGGT